GCCATACTTCCTAGGAAATATGGCCCCCTCTTCGGAAATTTGGCCCCCTTAAAAAAATATAGTTTGTTTTATCTTTAGGCTCAGAAATCGTGAGGCTTCTACTAAAACAATTTCCTAGAAATTTTTCTCAACATTTATAGTCTGTTTGCGTATTTTTTTTTGTGTCAAAATTCTCCATTGAATTGAATGCAATACTGACGAGAATTAGGCCAAGAGCTAAAGTTTAGCGTACTTTTCGCGTTTGGTTTTGACCAGCTTCGTAGAAGACAACGTTAATAAGGCATGCGAACAACATAATAACAACGTTAACATGCACCTAAAGCAATACTTTTTCTTGTAAATAAACGAAGAAAAACACTAAAATCGCAATTATTTGTGTTGCTTGACTGAAATGTAGCAGACGCTAATTATGGAACTACAGTAATTTCATCTCGGCAAGCGGGACGAAATATTCCATATGAACGCACGGAAATATTCGTCTCGGTAGGCAAGACTTCTCGGTAAGTGGGATCATATGAACAGCCTCTAAATAATGGTTGTATCATTAAGCTATGGAAACCGAACGTCATTTAAACTCTCGTGCTTTTGTGTGCGCGGAATGTTTTTGTGAGCGATGAAGCATGTAGTCTACTTTCGTTTTTACTGAATGCTTCTGTAATGCATCCCAACCATATGAGCAATTATATATACTGTGTATATGTAAGAATAAAAACATAGGAAAAGGTTTTTTTACGAAGTAACCACTCATTTGATTCTGTTTTTCGAACAAACGTTTCAACTTAAAAGTCTACTTTTACCGCTAATTACTCCCTGTTATTTATTAGACGCGTGCATATTAACATATTCGCCAACGCATGATGTCATCGTTTGCTAAAGTGCGGTTGTTATTCTGACTAATTTTATACTATGTGACTGAATTTATAGATCTAAATAACTTGTAATATCTTAGAAATTCCTATCTCTAAAAATCGTTTCGTGTCCTTAGCTTAAAGCTAAGCCATTATGCTTTAACGTTGTCCTCAACAGATACCCATGTGTGATGTGTCTGGCATGACTGCACTAGCACATTATTATTTTTACGTTTTCCTTCAAACTTTTAGCTCTTGGCCGCAATGAAGAATTTCGACACAAATAAATTATGCAAACTAACTATAAATACTGACAAACACTTTTAGGATCTTGGTTTTAGAAGAAGCTTCACGATTTCCGAGCTTATAGCGATAAAGTAAACTATGTTTTCGAGGGGGCCAAATTTCCGAAGGGGGGGCCAAATTTTGGGGGGGCCAAATTTCCTGGGACACCGGATATAGCTTGCGTAGCGCCACAAAAATCGGTACCTGGCTTGTGTTCCGATATAAAATGATGTAATCGTATAAATTTCTACATCAAAGCTCATCAAAGCGGTAGCAATCGTTCTAGGTGGTAGCCGAATCTTTCCAAGTGGTAGGAATCTTTATAAGTTTCAATTCGTGATTATTCTAACCTTATTTACGGGTATAGCTCACTCACTCCTTCAAATTGATGTCTGCAATATTTTTGGTAAATACGAAGTCATAGAAAAGCTTGGGCGGGAAGCCTGTTTACACTTGGGGTCGTAATTGTAACGTTTCGGCAAACGAAGCAAAAACCTATCCGATATAATGTAAATTAGCCATTGTCTTTCGAGACATTTTCTGGAAAGTCAGTAAACTTCAAAGCGGTTATAATGAGCTGTGTGTTTATGTTGAGCCGTACCCCTTACACCGTGCATATCCTTTGTTTTAGGTTATTAATATTTAAATAGCATGGTTGAATGACTGACTGAAACGTTGCTATTGGATGATTCGCTCATTATACTGAAATGTAATGTGTTTATTGACCGTACACCGTGCACAAAACTGCATAAACGCGAACAAAAAGATAGAACAAAGACTTTAGCGGAGTGTGCAAATCATGTTTTGAAAGACTATGATGTAGCCTAACAAAATAAAGGTTAATTTGAGTTTTTGAACTATGTTTTAATTTAAATAGAATACATCGTACATGACAGTGTTGGGAAAAGCATATTATGAGCAGCTAACCAAGGGTCACGTGCAGCCAAGTCTAATGATTATATTTACATACTTGGACAATGTTCTGTTTCCATACAGTCCTGTTTGTCCTCTCTAGCGCCCTTGCAGTCTCGTCCACCAAACTGAGGCTTGGGATTGGTGCAACTGCGGAATCGTAGTTGAAGACCTTCGCCGCATGTCACAGAACACACAGTCCAGTTTCCCCAATCAGACCAACCGCCAGGGACTGCAATAAAAATATACAAGACACACGTTAAAACGCACAAATATGTACATGTTATACAAGCTATATGTATTCTCATTCGAAATTCCCATATAAAAACCCTTTCATGTCATGTAGCTTGTCCATCGAATGAGATAAGTATATATACAATGAACTTGTTGTTAGAGTCATACCTAATTTTAGTGTGCAGTGATAACCAATTTGTGCAGTGATAAAAGTAAAATGTGCAGTGATAAAATGTAAAATGTGCAGTGATAAAATTTGCTTTGATAAGTTGTTAATTAACACAAGAGAGGGGGGGGGGGGGGGGTCGCCAAAAATTTCCGAATATTCTGAAATTTTCTTAGTCATTCGGAAATTTTTGGCATAAAATGTGCAGTGATAAAAAATTCTTAAAATTAGGTATGTTACGAAACACGCAAGCAAAACTGATGCTATACTTTTCGACTTGGTTTCCACACAAACACACACAACACGCTGATATATTTGAACAAATATTAACATGAAAAGGCATGAAATTGATCTTTAAAGCCTGGTTTCCGTATGGTCGTAATGATTGAGTCACGATTTCAACATTTTAGAACTAAAAATACGCGGTGTAATTATAACTAGAGAATACTTATGATTTATATGTGGTTTACAGGTATATACTATTATAAACTGGCCGTTGAGAAAGATCGTGACTCTATTTTACGACCATCTGGAAACCTGGCTTAAATTAAGAGGGGCAAGTTGGGTTGTAGGAACGACACTTGGAAATTAAGCATACGTCAAGGCAAAACAAAGGGCATTTCAAAAGAACCTTGTTTTTGCTTTGTGTTTGCAAAGCCCAGAAGTATTGTTGTCTTTTGTATTCTTGACTGACTATGCGTATCTCATTCGCTGGGATCATAAGTCAGTCAAAGTAATTGATGATAAAGTCTATGCATAAGAATTTAATTCTAAATCAGGGCCATCTTCAAGAAGGCCGAAGTATTTTCGTTGAGAAGGAATTGTTCTGTACTCTGTAACTATATGAACAGAGTATAATGTCGAACTGTGTGTGGCAGCGTAGATATTTAACTGCCTGAAATTTAAATACGAAGTATGCAAGGAAAACTTCGACATTTCGAGCGAAGGGCTTCAGGGGAATGGTTTTCAGTCACAAAATAAGTCCACAAAGTTTTTATTCAAAGACGGTAAGTTTGTGTTGTTTAATGATGAGACTCGCAGGCCGCAGCTGCATGTGAAGACTATGTTTACTGCCAAATGTGACCAACACAGTTGGTGAATGGCTGGTGCTTCAGAAACGATGAACTGTGTATTTACAATTTCGTAATCATACTCCATAGTCGTTTCTGTCTAACTGTAGAACTGAAAGCAGTGTTCATAGACAAAGGCTAAATCTGTTTAAGCTTCGTAAATACTAACTAGTATGTAAACCACGCTGAGAAAAACATTTTTACTTGACAGTTGATTTGGCACACAGACGATCAAACATTGTGGGCGTGCGGGGTTTGGACTGGAGATGAACAAACCCCGACTAGAATCAAAGGGCACATCAGGTAAATTTAACATTTACTAAACTAAGGTAGTAAGGGGCTGTTTGCATCATTCTGCTTTGCTGGGATGGGATGAAAGACGGGATGGTTTTGTTAAACTGGCTGCGGAAGCACCTCGAAAGTGTGAGGGGGGGGGGGGGGACCAGAAAGGGCACTTGAGTCAGCAAACATTCTAAATATGTTAGATGTGTCCTTACAAGTACAATCTCTCAAGCCGTGTTTACACTACGAGCCTAAGCCTGGCCTAGCTTTGGACTAGATTTTTGTAGTGTAAACGCACTTCGGCCTGGCCTAGGTCAGGAAATCTGGGTCCATCAGAACAGGTGTTCCACATTTCCTAACCTAGGCGAGGCCCAAAGTGCGTTTACACTACAAAAATCTAGTCCAAAGCTAGGCCAGGCTTAGGCTCGTCGGTGTAAACACGGCCTCAGATATACAGTCTCGGATGTTATACATATTCTCTAATTATAGCTCTGCGTCTGAACATGAACACATTAACCACAACTTTGTTAAAAGTTTTTTCATTTTTTAATTAATGCAATTTAATTTAAAATTGCCAAAAAAACTGAGGCTCTTGTCGTTTTTGATAACACAGTATTTAGCAATCAAATTTAAGTCCACTTCATCAGTTCTGTCCTAGCTTGTTTACGTGCCGGGATAACAATAAGACAGGGCCTTTTAATTTAATTACTGGAAAAAAGGGCACTTTTCCACAAAAAGGGCACATTTTCCCCTTGCACGAAAAGTGGGGGGGGGGGGGATACCTGCCCCAATGCCTCCCGGTTCCGCGGCCTCTGGTTAAATGAAAGTACAAACGCCGTATAAAGAACTGAAATCACGATCATGTAAACGCGCGATCATGTAAACAACAAAACATGGGTGGTCTTTGAAGTTTATCGTCAAATTATCTCTGTAACAATGTCGTGGGAAGAACGATGATTGAATCAATTTTATTACCATAAATAACAACCAATTAATACAACGGTGTTTTATCTCTAAAAGAAAACGAGTACTATATTTAAGCAAATCTGCAAATGGTTAGCCAACTAATTCACATCAGAGAAATTGCGAGATCGGATGACATGCCGAGTGCAAAAAAGAGGTACGCACAGCGTACATGCAAGTCCTACGCGTGTTTCCCACAAGCAGACAGTCGATAAAAATTCCTGCAAGCTGAACTTTCCCCTCCCCAACACTTTTCTAATGGTCCGCCCCTAACGATGCATTATTCGAGGCATTATCAGCGTCTGCTATCTCTTTCGGAACAGCAAGACTCCACTAGGAATGACATAAACAAACGACTGAAGAATTTCAACGACTTCTGGCGTTCTACTTAGAACATAAGTAATTGTGTGTGGTTATAAAAAATCTTTGTCCAACAATTTTTCATTGTTCACTAACTGTATGTATAGTCTTGCAAGGAAATGAACATTTACGATATTTAGGCGAACTGATTGTGTTTGTTTGACATTGCGTGTAGAGCGGTTAAAAAGCATTTACATAAGTTTACTTGCGCAAACAATAGCGTCCCAGTCTGTGTGTTTATTGAACAGCAAGACTCCAGCAGAATGAAACGAACATTATTAAAGGAACTTTGCTTAGCCGCAGACAACTAATTCAATAAGTAGTTAATTATGGCAACATTTATTGCAAAAACAAAATTTTAATTCGCGCAGTACGTTTGCGCGATTGATGCTAATTTAATTTGTTTACACTGATAATAAATGAATCCTACAGTTGCAGTTTAAATTATTGCACTGGTCATGCACTTTTGCAAATCAGAGAGTTTTAGCAAATAAACAAATGTAATGTTTTCTATAAACACAAAAGATCAATTGTGTGTTGTGATGTATGTTGTTGGGTGTTTGATAAACAAACTGTTTCAAAACAAGTTATGCAATTAATAATATATAAACTTAGATAAAGTGCGCAATTTTCGCCATTTATAATTAGACCTATCTCATAATCAGAATGAAAAGTTTGTAAGTTTGCATGGCAATATTACTACAATTTATTTGTGTTTATGGAATGCACCACTAACTGTGGTCAGGTTAACTTTTCAGCCTGCTCGGTGTGGATATACACTACTCTAGAAGTAACATCAAAAGCATCATATTCACTTGAGTACATAACACCAAAACACACCGAAAAAATCTCAGTACCATGCACTACTTGTTAATCCATCTGTTTTTGAAGTTGGG